ATATACACAATGGAGTACTACGTGGCAATGAGAAAAGAATGAAATATGGCCCTTTGTAGCAACACGGATGGAAATGGAGAGTGTGGTGCTAAGTGAAATAAGCCATACAGAGAAAGACAGATACCATATGTTTTCACTCTTATGTGGATCCTGAGAAACTTAACAGAAACCCATGGGGGAGGGAAGGAAAAAAAAAAAAGAGATTAGACTGGGAGAGAGACAAAGCATAAGAGACTCTTAAAAACTGAGAACTGAGGGTTGATGGGGGGTGGGAAGGAGGGGAGGGTGGGTGATGGGTATTGAGGAGGGCACCTTTTGGGATGAGCACTGGGTGTTGTATGGAAACCAATCTGACAATAAATTTCATATATTAAAAAAAAGAGAGAGGTCTAATTTTTCTCACTTCATTCTGTTGCACTGATCTACCTTTCTTTTTTCAAGGAAAGTAGCACAATATTGCCATTACCGCAACTTTATTGTAAACTTTGATAGATGGTATAGTAGTAGTATGGCCTGCTTCATCATTTAAAAATATTTTAGGGTTGTCTGGGTGGCTCAGTTGGTTAAGCATCCGACTCTTGATTTCAGCTCAGGTCATGATCTCACAGTTTGTGAGAGTGAGCCCCACATTGGGCTCTGTGCTGAGAGCATGGAAACTGCTTCGGATTCTTTCTCCCTCTCTCTGCCTCCTTACCCGCTTTGTACTCTCTCTCAAAATAATAAGCATTTAAAAAATAAAAATATTTTAAATATAGAGAAATGAAAAGAATAATGTAATAAACATGTACTCACAACCCCAATCAATACAATTATTTTGTCTTCCTCCCCCGCCCCATTTCTCTCCTTTCTACAAACTTTTTTGGTTTAGAAAGAAAACATAAATAAAATTTAATCCACTATATTCCCATTCCTCCTTTCCCAGAGGCAATTATTATCATAAATTTGCAACAAATCCACTCCATTTCTTATACTATCACTTTTCAGTACATGTAAACAATATATATTTTATGTTTTTGAGAATTTACATAAATGGTGCAAAATGGTATTTATTTTGCAAATCATTCTTCTCATTCAATATACTGATATCTATCCATGTAGATACAGGTTAATTTATTTTAACTGTCCTACAGTATCTGTGAATACACCACGATTTGTCAATTTCCTTCTTGGAGACCAACTATTATTTCTAATTTTTTGATATTTCAAAAATACTGCAGTAAATTCTTAGATATGCTCCTGTACAAATATACTTGTGTTTCCCTCATAAAGTGTTCTCAAACTTTAGCAGGCACCAGAATAACCTGGAGTGCTTGTTAAAACAGATTGCTGGGCTCTTTCCCCGAGCTTCGGGTTTAGGAAGTCTGGTGTGGGCCCCCAAATTTTAATTTTAACCTGTTTTCAAGTGCTGCTGATACTGCTAGTCAGGGACCACACTGACAACCACCTAGAAATGGTTCTGCAGGGTCATAGGTAATGTACATTAAATGTATTAAATTTTACCAAACTATGTTTTCTGTAATTGTACCAATTTATATTGACATTAACAGCGTATGTGAGTACTCATCTCCCCATATCCTCACCACATTTTATTGTGAGACTCATAAGGTTGAAAGCACCTTTTCATGTTTATTAGCCAATTAATTTCATCCAAGAGTATGGTATTCTGGGGGGGGAGTCAGCATTATTTCTAAGCATATGTAGATTGCTTGTAGGTGTTACTGTTGTGTAAAATTATCCGTCTATTTCTTCTGTGAGCTCCTTCCCCCCCCTCCCCACTTTACTCCCCTCTCCCAGTAAGAGGGTTTGTCATGGTAGTGACAACTGGGAAGGAATTTACCAGTTTGCTTCTCTTTAATTTATGTAAGTTAATGTCAAGGAGAGGGTATCTGAATGTCACTGAAAATGTCTTCAGTAGAGAAAGTAAAATTCTTACTGAGAAAATCTGACCATTTGACAGCTTCAAATTCACTCCAATTAAGTCTTTTTTAAAAAATTTAAACGATCTCTGACATTTGCAGGAGTAATTGAACTGTAATCACATTATGCTTTTGAGAACCACTGCAGATAATTAATGAAGCATTAACCGTTATGCAATTTGAATTTTTAAACTCTATTTAAGTTATTAAAATATAAAATATCTTTACATTTAATATAAGATCATAAATGCAAATATACAAACAGTCCCCAACTTATGACCCAGGAGTTTTTGACTTTATAATGGTGTAAAAGTGATACACATTCAATAGGAAGCTGTACTTCAAATTTTGAATTTCGATCTTTCCCCAGGCCAGTGATACGCAGTATGGCACACTCTTGTGCTGGGCAGTAGCAGCGAGCCAGAGCTCCTAGTCAGCCACATGATCACAAGGATGAACAGCCAATACATTTACAACCGTTCTTTTTTTTTAATTTAACCTTTTAAATGTGTATTTATTTTTGAGAGAGAGAGAGAGACAGAGCACGAGCAGGGGAGGGACAGAGAGAGAGGGAGACACAGAATCCAAAGCAGGCTCTAGGCTCCGAGCTGTCAGCACAGAGACCGACGCAGGGCTCGAACTCACAAAAACTGTGAGACCACGACCTGAGCCGACGTCAGACACTTAACGGACTGAGCCACCCAGGTGTCCAAACAACCATTCTGTTTTTTACTTTCAGTATAGTATTCAATAAATTACATGACACATTCAACACTTTATTGTAAAATAGGCTTTGTGTTAGATGATTTTGCCCAACTGTACGTAAGCTAATACAAGTATTCTGAGCATGCTTAAGGTAGACTAGGTTAAGCTATGATGTCCAGTAGGTTAAGTGCATTAACTTCATTTTCAACTTAACATATTCCAATTTACAATAGGTTTATTGTAATGTAACTCCATCATAAGATCTGTATTTATTAGAAGTAAAAAGAGAAAACGTTCCAATGGTTTCCTACTGTGTATAGAATAGTCTCAACTTCTTACAAAGTCTGAAAGGCTCTCCAAGATCTAGTCTCTTCTTTCTTCTTCAAACATTTTTCCTTCCACTCTCCTGCTTTCAAACTCAACAAACACACCTTCATTTGGTTCCTCCAACTCACCCAGGTCTTTACAATTGCCCTAATTTGCATGTGGTAGGCTCCTCCTCATTATTCAGATCTCAGTTCAAAGGTCAATTCTTAGAACAGACCTTTCAGTATTTAATGTTGTCACCACCACTACCCATCATTCTCTATCACATTATGCTTTATTTTCTTTATAGGACTTATTACCACTTCTAACTACTCCACTTGTTTCCTTGTCTATTGTCTGCCTCCCTCACTAGAGTATATTTCTACTGTCAGAAGGAATCTTCTTTCTCTTGTTACTATACTCCCTATACCTAGACATTCAATAAATATATGCTGCATAAGTGAAGAAAAGAAAAGCCTTACTTAGCAGCATTACACAAAATACCCAGTGGAATTTTCCAGTTATTTCTAATACTAGTAACTGGCAAACTGCATATTGGTCAAGAGTAATCTATTATTATATATCTATTTTTATTATATTTAATAAATACATAAGATCTACTATTATATACAATAGTAGATATTATAACCTAACTGTATTAGACTGTGTCTAATACAGCATTATTTTCTATTACTATTATATATAACATCAGATATTATATATCTATTATTATTCATTATATGCATTCTTTAGTTATAAGTAGAATACTTTTTACCCCCTTCAGCTTTACACAGTACTCAGAGAAAACTCTGGGACTTAAGTTGAGATTTCTTTCAGGGAAAGATGGTTTTATAACTACTGAATAAATACTATATAAAGTACTAAAGTTTAAGAGTTAATTTTTAGTTGTGGAACTTTTAAAACACTAATGTGAAACAAAATGCTGAAACCAAGCTTTGATATTACAACAAAATATTACAAAGTAACTTCTTTACAAAGTTAAACTCTTGCCATTCCAAAGAAAATGTGAAACCACTGCTATTTATGAACAGACTATGTAACATAAATTAACTGAAAAAAAGGCAACAATGTTTAAGAAAAAGACCGCAATCTTTACGCCCTTCGTGGGGCCCAAATTCATAACTCTTAGATCAAAAGTTGTGCTAAGTAAAAACAGATAAAGGCAATGATAGATGAGAGGCCCAAATGAGAATTACATTACAGGGCTCCCTTTCATTCTCTTGTAAAATTTATGTTTTAGGAAGATAAAAACATTATTTGCGTGAAATGTACATTTTCACTGTGCTTTAACATATATAAATAAGTAAACATACCTTCTCTGATTTAAGTACACTAAGTTCCCACTGAAGTTTATCATTTCTACTTGGTTCAGTCGTCCTAAGTGATGATCCACTTGTCACTAATGGCAAGTGACCCAAAAACAACTGTTCTTGCTTGCCTTCTTTTCCAACAGTCCTATTTTCCAAAGGAATTTTATTTTCCTCCATTATTTTTGATTCTTCACCAAAATCTTTATTTATTTTAGAAACTGACTCTCCAGAATCTTTGCTTGTCCTTGTCACAAATCCATCTTTTAAAGAGTCTAATGGAACATCACATGCATTTACATTTTCTTTCCTATTATGATTAATGATGATTTCTAGCTCTCTACATCTCAATAAAACTTGCTCTTTCTCTTGCTTTAAAGACTTCACTTCTTCACTCAGAAAACTAATCTCACCATGTTTCTGTTTTAATTGTTCAGAAAGATCAGACAGCTTCTCTGACAGTTCTAATTTTTCTCGCTTGGTCACCTCAAGTTTTTCCATAAGTTCTGTTGTATCTTTCTCAACAACCTCACCAATTTCCAAGGGTTCTCCTATAAAAGTTTTGTCATCATCAAAGACTGAACTTTTCATTTTTACCACAGTTGGATTTATTCTTTGCAAATGATGAAGCTCTTCACTAAGTGTTTTAAGCTTACTTTTATACTCTGCTTCTTGTTTGTTTTTGCTGTCTTCTAAATCAGTTTTCACCTTGAGAAGGCAAGCATAGTCCTCCTGTAACTCTTGATAGTTAACTTCAAAATTTTTTTCAGCAAATGAAAAAGTGTTCCTTTGCCTTTCAATCTCTTCAGTTAGCTGAATACATTGTTTTTTGAGGTCCTCATTTTCCTCTGTAAGTACTTCTATTTCTTTTTGCCAGTTACAGTCTTGGGATCTGGACTTAATGGAGTCTGTGAAAAGTAATCTTTCTTCTTGGTTAACAGGAGTACACATTTTCAACATGTCTTCAAGGGCTTTCTTTTCATCTTTAAGAATGCTATTCTCTGCTTCAAGATGTGTGAATTTTTCTTGAAGGTCATCCTCTTTTTCCTTCATTTGTTTCTCTAACAATTCAGTTTTAAGTTGTAATTCTTGAACTTCTTGTTCAAGAGTACCCTTTTCCTTTTCTTCTTGCCTGAGTATTTCAATTTCTTTTTGAAGTTCATTGATTTGAAGAGTCATTTCTTCTGATTTTGAATTCACAAGGGACTGCTGTAAATCTTTTAGCTTTGAAATTTCCAAAATTAGTTGATTCTGCTTAGTTATCAAACTATCTTTTTCAAACTGCATGGTTTCTATCTTTTGACTCATTTCACTCTGTAAGCCATCTATCTGCTGTTTATAGTGAATGCCTAAGTTATCTTTAAGTTTCTCAATGTTTATTCGATGTTCAATTTCTAAATCTTCTTTCAGTTTGGAAAGTTCTTCTTCATGACTAAACAGAAGCTGTGTCCTCAGCCTCTCTAATTCAGCTTCTTGTGATTCAGCCATTCTGTCTAATACAGCATTCTTTTCTCTCTCTAACATTTCCAGTTTTATCTTGTAATTTGTAACTTCTGCTTCATGTTTTAATTCTAGTTCTTTTCTGGACTCAGATGCAGAAACAATCTCAGCTTTCAAATCTTCCACTGTACCAAGGGACTTATGTGCTTCATTGAGTTTACTTTCTTGTTCAGCTATTGTTTGTCTAGCTCTCTGAATTTGTTCCCTTGAAAAGCTCAATTCTTCAAAAAGGTCTTCAAGCTGCCTCTGTAGAGTAGACTTTTCTCCTGAAATTACTCCTAGTTCTTCCTTGAGTTTTTCCTTTTGAGAATTACTATCTTGCAATTTTATATTCAGTTCATTTATTGCCATATTCATTACTTTTATTTGATCTTCATTAACAGTAACACTTGGATATGATCTTAAAGCATTCTCCATTTCTTCTTTATGCCGTATTTTAAGTTCATCTATCTGTGACATGTGTTGTTTTATTAACTCCTGTTTCATCTGTACTATCTGCTGCCCATACATCTCATCCAGCTCTGCCCGGAGCTGTTCTAACTTTCTTTGTGTTTCTTGTTCCATTCTTTGCAGAATATCAGTTTCAAATTGGCTATCTTTATGATTTTTCTTTTGAAGTTCTTCAACTGTCCCCATTAACTGTTTTATTTCCTCAGAACACTGTCTTTCTTTTTGCTTGGAATGAGTCAGCTCTAATTTCATATTTTTAATCTCTTGGTTCTTTCCTACAACCTGTTCTTGTAATTCTTCCAGTAATTTATCAGTAACTGTGACTTTATCCATTAGCTCTAGAGTTTTTTTTTCTTCTTCTATTATTTTTGTTTTTAGTTCTTCAATGATTGCATCTTTTTCCTGTATTTCTTTAATTGAGCTTTCTACTTTTTTATCTTGTTCCTTTAGAAAGAAAAAATGAAAATATAAAAATGTCAGTTTTAGTTCCTGGCAACTTACATTGCTTAATCTCAATACCAAAATATTGAGAGAAGTCTGTTTTTTTCAATAATTCTATAAATAGTAACTGCTAGGCTTGCCCTTCAATTTTTCCCAAGTCAGTGAGGTAAGACCTGTGTACCCAACACTATTTGTGAGCAAACAGTACAGCAGCATTGGTCTTCTTGAAGAAAGAAATTTTTCTTACACTGCTATGGTGAAAAATATTAATTTCAAAATTAGTAGGATTAAAATGTCTAAACCATTATATGTTCATCTTTCTTATTAACTAATAAACTTAGTATTTTCTATAGGTATAGTACTATGTACTCTTTACAGTTCCAGAAGAAAGTCTTAAAAATAAATCAAGATTCCTTCTATGTATTCTAGTGACTTAAAGGTGTCTGATGAGCAAATGCTACGAAAAGACTAAAACAACAAAAACAGGTTCTTATGGGTCTGCCTTAGTTTCATTCCTGTGGCTGACCTCAAGTGACATGCAAAACAACTACACCATTTATAGCAAATCAACTTGGTCCTAGACTTTGGGTTTGAATAGAAATTTGAAAGCGGGGCAGACATTTTTTTCCACGTCTGACTTGGGACTCTACTGTGGAACTGTATATAAGCCTAAACCTAGGACACAGACCAAGGCATATTCATAATCACAATCATCCTTAAGAATGTTATCACATAAGGGAGTCAAGCAAAAGCCCTAGAAACAAAGTTTTGCCTCTGTCACTTAGTTGCCTAAATATTTAAGGGCTGAGGCCCCAACTACAAAGAAAGTATAATCCATAGAATGGAACAAACACAAGTAGGTAAGTAAAATCACCTAAATGACTCAGGAGTCCTAAGGCCAAGAGGACTTAAAGGCACCTTGAATGGATTTATTAATATATCTAAATAAAGAATGTCAAAGCCTAGAAAAAGGAAGGCGTGAGACAGAAATGTTGGCAGTACACATTCCACCACAGTCCAGGTGCCGTGAGACTGCGAATTCTGATCACTCTGGGAAAACCATAGTTAACACAGAAAGCAATGTAAGGGGTTGTAGCAAACAGAATTTAAGAATTTCAGTCCACAGGCATGACTTTTCCTTCTGTGAGATGGATACACCAGGTTATCATAGCGTAATGCTATGGAACGTTTGATTCCTCTAATATCCTTTAATCTCATGCTCACTAAACAAACTTTCTATTATTATTATTTGGCTTTTCAAATTCATTTGCCCAGAGAAAGAAAGTAAAATCCAATGAACCTGAAGTATGCAGGTCCTGGTGATAATCATTTCTCACTGTAAATTAATAATCTCATCTTCAAGATTTAAACATTTAGCCTCTTGAACTTGGAAAATCTGAGCTCACCTCTGAGATAGCTCAAGTCTCAGATGATAGAAGATAAAAATCAGAATTATTTTTTCTTCCAAGATTTTATTTAAATTCAAGTTAGCTAACATACAGTGTACTTCTGGTTTCAGGAGTAGAATTTAGTGATTCATCGCTTATATATAACACCCAGTGCTCGTCACAACAAATGCCCTCCTTAACGTCTATCACCTATTTAGCCTATCCCCTCAAAAACCCCTCAGTTTATTCTCTATAGTTAATAGTCTCTTGTGGTTTGCCTCCCTCTCTGGATAAAAACCAGACTTCTGAGCCTACAAGTCAAAGGCCAGAATATGCACTATATAAATTAACTAAGGCAACGACAGCTATACTGTGAAGCCTCTTGAGCAAAATCCTATCAGCTTTTTTCTTGGTATCACATATTCCATCCAATGTCACCATAAGTGATTACCAAGTGCTGAGCCTTCTGACTTCTGTACTATAATATGACATTTAAATCACTTTAATCTCTTAAATTGCAGTGTTTTCACCTGTAAAATAAATACCATTTCTTCTATCTCATAGAATACGTTTGAAGCTAAAAGAAAATGAATGTATTAATGTATTTTATGCACATTGTGCTATATAAAAATGTAATATCTTTGTATACTAGAAAGTATCTAGAAGGCATTTGGAAACTATAAGAAAATAAAATTAGTTCACGGAGGTCAACTTCAGTTGAACTGTTAAATAAGTACTTAGACTTGGAATATTAACATCTGTTAATACTTCCGTTTCCTGATTTTTCTATTGGGGAGGAGGAATCCTCATAAAACAGTGTCACTTAATTCAAAATTGTCCAACATGTGATATAACTGCAAGCAAACAATAATTCTTCATTCAACTATTAAATAAATTCATGGTTCATTTTTCTTAGTACTGTTTATTTCAAAATATATGGTTTTAAACCATATATTTTGTGTTGGAAAAGACAGCCCTGTGGTTGAAGATACAATCCCTCTATTTTTAGAAACAGACTTGAGGCAGTGGGGAATAATATACTTCTTGCCTGTGACCACCATGGGAAGTTCAGAATATTATGAGTAAAGAGAATGAGGCTGGAATCACCATGACAGTTTCAACCATCACCCTAATGCTCTAGTCCCTCAGCTGATCTGATGGAACTACTGCTCAGGGGGAGTCATTCAAAGTTAAAAAGAGAGAGAGAGAGAGAGAGAGAGAGAGA